AGGTTGCGGCGGATCCTCCAGAGGTTCTAAAGGACCCAAAGAAATTTCGTCCATTCAATACCTAACAGAACTTTCTTGAATATCAACGTACCTGCTGTGATTGGACAATTGCACAATTTTCTTACTTGCAGATAAGCTGGATGGCCAATTCTAAGAACTATAGATTCCCCGTTTTTCTGTACATTTTTTACTCTTACCTAATAAGCACTTCCTTTGTTTCTTTCATTTTTTGATTCGTTACTGTGGGGTTCTGCATGTTCGATTGCCGATAGTTGTATACCGTATTCTGCTGTAATCATGTGGAGAACGTAATAGTTACCTGTGATGGTTTATATTTCAATATATTCTTCTAGTCGTTATGTCGCTAATTATTAGCATTTTAGTACTTATTTTACTGCAAAACTGTTGTTTTTATCTGAGTGGCATACTGTTTGTGATAAATTAAAGTGTAACATTTGGCAACTTTTGTTATATCGACTATTTTTACTGTATATACTGCAAATGAGAAGGAAAATATATTGAACGTTCGGGCGATCGATCAATCAATTTTCATACATTTTCTTAAATGTGGTGTAGATACTGGTAAATTGAACTAATTTCTAATACTCTATTACACCCGTTCCCTCTCGTGGGGCATAGGCCCCCGACTGGGTTACCGTTTTTTGCCAATGTTCTTTTCTACGGAACGAAATCGCTAACCTGATGGCCAATCCTTCTCCTTTATCCAAGCTTGAAACTGAAGTAGCTTTAAAAGGGCTCTATGCTGGTGTCACTTGGATTAGTGTTGGTCTTGACGACCTGGGAGCGTGACCGCAGAGCCCAAGGGACAACTGCTTGAGGCCGGTCGCGCACGGCTTTTTTGCGGAAGGTTTTTGACATGTTAGCTCCGTTCGTCAAAGGGCCTTACCACCGGAGACGGAAATCCACGAGGTAAGGTGAGGTGTGACATTTTTAGGGTCGACCTTTTCTAACCCCACCCCTCCTTGTGGGAAGGCAGCGTCGCTGTCATGCTGCTTGTCCGAAGGAAACACTTACTGCTGTCACATCCCTCTACAGTCAGCAGTACGACTTCGCCCTCAGACCTTGAGTTGCTGCTTTTAGTCTTGCCGTTCACCAATCGACCTGCCTGGCATGGTAGAACCTAAAGGAACATATGTTCCAGCCAATATAGCTCGGTTGGGTCATCACGATAGGCAAGCCCGACCACCGCGTCAAGGTAGCAGCTTCGGTCGGGTTAAAAGGGCTCTAGACGGAGTTTTCCAATGCTCACAATTTTCATAAAATATCTGAGAAAACAGATTAAACAGTCCAATCCCTATCTCTACAGAGTTGCAACTAACTTTGTTGAACTTGTCTTAATAATTACCTTCTTACTTTGAGTAAGCGAAATATAATAAAACTTAAATTTCTATGAGCGTGTACTGTTATTAAAACCCTTTTAAAATCTTTTGTTCGTAATTCATTAAACTACGGCTTCCATTTTATCTCTTTAGATCCCTTGAGAAACCTCTTATTCGTCAGTTGAGCGAACGACAACATCGAGCTATGTTTTCCACGCCTGATGATATGTCATTAACCAACAGTCCCACAGTGTATTCTCCTCGTAATATAATCCCTTACAGTTCACCTAATCAAAGTCCTAGGTCTGATCATTTTCAGAAACAAAATGTATTCAGTTTTCATAGACCATCACTAACTGTCACTCCAGGTTTTTCTGGTTCTTCGTTCTCTTCTGGTTGGTGTTCAGGTGGAGACTTATCTTCACATAGTTCTCCGGGTTCTGGTAGTTCATCTTCTGCATCAGTTCCTCGACCTTGTGATTCTACTCATTCATCTTTAAATCCATTTCAGCAGGGACGTTTTGGTAGCCTACGGGCCTCATGTCATTCGGCTAATCATTTCCTCAATTCGAATTTGGATAATTCATCAATGAAACTGACATCCGCCCGTCAACAAGCGCCTAAATCGACATTTGTTACACAAAATTCAAATGGGTCTCAATGTAGACACAGCGATCCTACTCGACATGTTAAAGTAAGTTAATATTCTATCCAATACTTACTTTTGTGCACCAAATTTGTTTTTGTCAATCGATAACGGAATGATTATCTACTGTTGCTTGTGTATAATTTAGCTGGTAATTATTTCATATTAAGACCTGGAATTGCTTCCGTGTATACAGCAAAATTTACACATAGAGTTATCATTAATTTCATATAAAAATATAGTTGTTTTTTGTTTGTATCATTTGAAATTTGTTCACTTTTTCTTTTAGATTTCAAAAGATACTCGAATCGTTTGTTCCGTTGTACCTAACGTGCAAAATTCCAACAACAATTTGTCTGCATCAATCCAAACTCCTGCTTTTACCCCGCCGCCACCACAGACTGCTATTCAAAAGATCGACTCAGATAAATTCTCAATTCAAGCAAATGCTTTAGTATCATCAGGTCAAGTTAAGCTACGTAGGCATAGTCATCGATTTGCCGTTCAACATGTAACTTCACCAAAAAGTCCAGCTGAAAGTAGTGATGAAAAATCCAAGAATTAATAATCATTGTTGAATTTCTAGTATTCCGATGGTAAGATGTCTTTTTTCCTCCTATTTTTTCTCTAACTTACTTTAGGTTTATTCAACTATCATCCTGATTGATTAAGATAGAATCGAACATATTTAAATACTGTGATTGTTATTTATTTATTTTTTTGAGTACCACTGGGATTCGAAATTATACTCATGAGGAAACTTGTTACGATTTTTCAATGTAATTCGACTCTCCCGGTTATTATTGACTTGTTAAATTTCATGTATCTCTGTCCATATTTCTCTTTATTCAATTCACCTTTTGTTGTATTGTCTTGGTCGTTATAGTTATTTTCTCTATTATTTAATTAATAATTATCATTATTTTATTCATACACTACATATCTCAATAAATTGTTCATTCATCATATAGTATTACAATTTGTTCATATTGAAGTTGATCATCTATTATATGATAGCTTCACTATGCCCCACATTCCTTATAATACAATACTCTCGTGTTTGTTGTAATAATGCAATTGTTATTAAAGTCAGTTACATTCTTAACGGTATCCATGGTATCAGTATTGTATTTTTTTTCGTTTATGACAATTACTATGATTTGTGATCGTGTCTTCCTTTCTTTTCTCTATCATATCTTTTCATAAATTGATCAATTTATTTATGGATTTCTTTTTTCAAGGGAGTGTATACATAAAACTTCCTTACATATGTGTATGTGGGTCTATTCAATCAAAAGCTTTTCTTTGTTTACATGAACATACGTTGCTAAACCTATTCACCAACTACTTGTACAGTTCTTTTAAGCTACACTATTTTTTTCTGTTTCTTTATTATTATTATTATTATTGACTTTTTTGTTGATTGGTTACACATTATACGCACTTATGTTTTAGTCTTTTTCTAAAATGTATCGTTAATTCCTCTTAATTTTACTGTTGCGCAATTTGCTGTACTTTTTCAAAGATTGTGTAACCAAGGCAATTAGAAAATTAATTATTTATCAGTTTATTTACTTATATGCTTCTACCATTGTTCATTGGCTCTTCCCTCAAATTTATTTCTACCTGCTATATTATTATTCACTCCTTGATTTTAAGTTGTTTTTCATATATATATATATATATATATATATATATATATATGCTTGTGCGATCAATTTATAAAGATTTCTTTCATCTGTGACTAACTTTTATCATTTGTTGTGTTTCAAAGGTGTGGGGTTGAGGGGATCTATTGAAAAGTTATTTAGTTTCACCGTTTATTGTTAGTTTTGTGTTCATTTCACCGTCATCTAAGCTTTTTCTTCATTACTGCACTACCAGTTGATATAATCAAGTAAATGATAAACATTTCGGAAATTTTCTTTATCATATACATCTTTAATTAAAACAGAAGTGAGATTCTCAATATTTGGTTATACAAATGTTACTGAATGTAAGAAGTACTGTTTAACAAACTAGCTCAGTTTTCTTCACTAAATTAATCTTACATGTCAGCATGGGGTTTTAGAAGATGTTCACGCAGTTTCGTGGATTGACTGAAGTTAGACATAAACAAAGTTGGTTGTCGGCTCTGTGATCTGGAGGTTAAGCGCTCGCACTCGAGCCCGAAGGTCCTTGGCTCGATCCCGGGATTGGTGACTTACTGCCGACCAGTCCCATAATATGACGAAGTGGGCGTCCAATACTTCCTGATTTCCAATGGTGGTCTAGTTTATATCGGGTCATGATATCAATGATCTTAGATGGTTTGAGAATGCACAGAACTGATAGGTATTCCGGTTATGAAAACTACCTACTTTGTTAAGTTAAACAAGAAAAATATGTTCGTACTTCGTGAAATAAAAATCTTCCTTACTTTATCTAATTCACGAATTTATGAGATAAACGTTTTATTTACCTATTTAGCCAGCTTATTGCGAGTATCGATATGTTGTTTGTGTGATAGTTGTTTACTGATCAATTCTATAATTTTATGCTTCAGTCGTGTAAAATCAATATGTTTGTTGAGTAAATTTTACTTTTGCTACCTTTATTTTAACATCAGTCGATTTTTCTTTAAAATATCTCACTATGTTCAACAAATTTTCCTATTCCATATTTTATTGTATCGTAACTTATCATCTAGAGTTATATAAATTTAAATAATCTATCAGTTCTTCATTATTCACAATCCCGTTATTCTGAAACCAGGAATATATCTGGGTTAGTAGTGCATTTCATTAAATACGTAAGAATTCATGTCTCATTTAGATGACTGTAGCATTCCGCATTATGTTATTGGACGGAAATCGTGATTCGATTGATCGTTGACTTTTTAGTTGTCTTCTAATACAATATCGAATCAGAAACTATTAGTCAATATCTTATCATAAGTTAAGCTTTATTATTGTTAACTATTGAAAATATAAGTTAGTATACAATTCTATTTTTGTTTAAATAAATAAACATACGGTTAACCTAATTTCAATAAATCATAGTTCACAACACATGTCATTACGCAAGTTATTTATGTTCATTTGGTTTGTGTTACATTTATTAGGACGTAATTATTTTATTATCAATTCGATTCATTGCCAGAGTGCACAGATACTTCGAAGTCTGGAGTTTTGATCCGTACATCTGATCCGTGAACTTGAATTTGTTTTTTCGGACTCTGTATTCTCGTTCTATATGGAACTTTCATGTCATCCTGACTACTTGATTCTTGTGATGTTTGATCATTTGACAATCGATTCGGAGATAAACTCTTATAATTAACATGTCTACGTTGCCGTTCATATGAAGTTACAGTACGTCGTCCATTAGATTTTAAGCTTGCAACATCTCGTGATTCACGTATTGTTCTCCGTCTGGGTGATAATGAGCATGCATATGCTCTTCGGCTTGGTGACGTAGACTTGACTAAACTAAGCTCACCTCTTCTACGGTCCAATTCAGCGTTAAGAAGCCTACCTTCTGTTTCAGCCTGTGATCGAAGCTTTTAAATAGGACAGAAGTAAAAATAGAACCAATTCATATTTAATTCTTATTAAAAAGCATTTTATCCGATTCATACAACTAGTAACTTGAACCTACCCTGATAATAGAAAAAATGGCTTAAATATCTGAGAGCCTGAAGTTTGCTTCTGAGCAATTCCTTAAACATTAAACACAGTCTTTAAACATTATCTTGCTTAGTGATTTCACATAGAAATAATTTTCAGCCCCAAACTTTTGGAAAACCATTAAAATCAGTCAGCAACCACATATTTGTCTCATCTTTGTTTAGTGTGCTTGGTTAATATTCTCCAGTGATGTTTCTACCAATTAATGATGGAAGATAGATATAACTTATTACACTTATTCCGAATCGATCTGTCATAAGCACGGAGATACAGTGACTTTAGTAAATAATTAATACATAAATCGATCTAATAAGGTGTATTATTATCCTTAATAGCACTTATTTCTTCGGTTATCTTAAGTTCAGCTTAGTAATTATGTTATTCTCAATTGCCTTCATCAATGTTATACACTTACTCGAATTGCCTTGGTTAAACTGAGCATAATTTCAGCTAGTTTGTATTCCTCTCTTGTTACCACTCGACGTTTCTCCATCTGCTCTGCGAGATGCTGGATCTAAATTTATGAAAACAACTCAACATGAGGAACTTATTGTATAATCGACATTATCTTAAACAAGTAGTAATCCTTGGCTATGATTAGCCTTTACTGGCGATTGTATGTCTGGACTGCACTGAGGTGTGATGGTAGTAAGTTATGTCTCATGAGTAACCAATACTGCTACTGGCTTTCTATAGACCAAATGAACGGTTAGAAAATGTTAATCACAGAGTTCAAAATGTGTGAAACCGATGTTGTAAAGCACGAAGAGATTACTTACAGAAGTTCGTACATGACTTGTCTCCAAATATTTTTCTTTGGACTTTATGGTCGTGCTTCCAAGCGGACGGGATCAAACGGATCAGTCCATTTTTCTCAGATTATTTAAGATTTTTCGCCACACTTTTAAGGCATTTCATGCTGTCTTTCAGCTGGTTAAGAATTTGTGAAAGATCATAGATGATCAGATGGATATATCATATTTGTCTATGAAGTCATTAGTTTTTAGTTTGAACTTTACTGGAAGGTGTAAATTTCAAAGTGTAGAATGCAGGGCAACTATATACTTTCTTTAGACGCTCAAGGCGACAATCGCAGTTGCACTGATTTATGTACTTAGTTTATTGTACACCTTGGCGATTTTGTTTCATATCTTTCATTCCTTTTAAACTTCACTTCTATGTTTAGTATTCCACTACAATTGTAATGTTTCTCTCTATATCTTTTCATCGTCGTAATTTGAGTTGCGGAATCTTTGATCTATATACACTTGTCTCAAGTTATTGGTCGTATATAACTGACTCTTGACAGAATATATTGTTATTATTAGCCAGATTGATACTGTGATGACCTGTGTAATTCAACCGTCAAAATTCTAATTAACAGTGTTAAAATTCCTTTCTATGTTCTGAAGATAAGTTTCAACATATGTTGGACCCTCCACACTTCATTATAATTGCTTTTAGGTCTTTTATTACAATTATATGAGATGTTTTCAATTTTAAAACACAGATTATAAGTTAAGGATTGTAAATGATTCTGGTTTGTTCAAATAAGTTTAGCCACAAGTTAAATGTTCTTCTGAAAGCATTATGACCACACAGTAAACTATATATCATTCTTATTTCACTCATCAAAAAGCATTTTCTCTTTTTTTAACGTTAAAGCATCTCAGTGTATGCTGTTGAAATGAATTCTATTTAAAGTTCAAAATTTTCTCTTACCTCTACAGAATCTGTTCCACTGTGTTTTAAGGTTGAAATAGTCCTTCTGATCAGTGATTCTAAATCACCTCTGTGTCCATTCATTCTTGATTCAAGATTTGGTGCCTGTTTTTTAGCTGAATAATAACGACGTTTCCATTCATCTCGAGCTAAAACAGCAATTTATAGATAATTGTTAGTTGCCAAATTTTTTTCAATAGTTGATCGATAATTAAAACAGTGAACAAAAATATTGAATAACTCAACGTCGAGCATATTTGTCAGTATGAGTAATATTTAGCAATCTTTTTTAAATAAGAGAACTGATGAAGTGCACTTTGATTTCATCCTGAGGTTTTGTGTTAACTAAAATAACAATCAATTATTATATCTACTGTATGTGCAAAAAAGTGGTTTGCTTATTTATAAAACAAACGCCTTTTAATAACAACGATTGAATAGTATGAAATACAGGTATCTAACATGAGTAATGATGTTTTATGCTTGTATATTTGAAATAATATAGAATAATTGTTCATTTCCTATGAAAAAATCAGTCATCTAAAAGCAATCAGTCCACTGTGAAGCTTGAGGTTCTTGAGTTTTATCCCTAGTAAGATGGTGTGTCCTTATTTATTTATTTGAACACATAAATATTGGTACAAAGAGGCACCGAATACACATGCGCCACACAAATCTCATTTGATATGTATGAGGGCTGTGATACTGCCCGGGTGCCCAAACCGAAGCTGGTAATTTTCTTAGGGTACCACTCCCCGAGCACTGGACCTAAAGGTCTGATCTACAAGGCAGTGTGGCAACGTTAGGAGATGCAGTCCCATGGTAGCCGGTGACCAATGATTGGTTCATACACCATTTGTTTCTTCAGGATCCTGGAGCCCATATGAGCCATTGATTTGGAATGAGGGTTTTACAACCCCTAAGTAAACCCTTCGTGTCCACCAACCCGTCAGAGCGCCGGATATTCGCTTTTCGTCCTCTCAATTTCGTAAACAACAGTAATGCCACGATAAAGCAGTGAGTAGGACTTCCATGGCAGTGGTTGTATGCACGTGACCATGTGACAGCATTTGAAGAGGAAGAGCGAACTCTCCCACCCTCGGACGTACCAGGATATTTGATTTCGAAAAGTTGCCTGAGTAAAGTCATTTCACGATATAAAGTACAACTACGCTTATTTACATTCAGAAGTTTGAGTTTTTTCCAATTAATTCATTATTTGTATCACCTAACAATCCATTTGTATCACTTAGTGAGTACAATTTTGTTATCATTGGAAACATTTTATGTTATTACGTTTGTAATAATTGAGTCTTATCGAAATTCCTAATCGGATTTAAAGTTTCTATTCAAATTTTTCTAAATATTTCTGTAACTAGATTCATAGAAATCTAAATCTCTCATCTAAAAATATTAATCATTATTGCATACATTATATATCCATTTAGAAAAAATAGTTCTTGGTCAACACAATTGAATGTATATGATTTATGCTTGAGAAAAAAACAAAACAAAAATCTGATACCAGGATTTTTTTTCCTAATCTATTATTAAATTGCTTTTCGTACAACCGGTAGAGAGGAACTGTACAGTGTGCACTGGAAAAGTTTGTTAGCAGTAACTTAATGTGAATATGTTTGTACACCGTAATGCATACTTTTGAAAATATACCATGATTGCGTTCCCCATTTGTATAACTTAACTCATAGATCATTCACCTGAAAAGTCTTTTGTAACAAAGTTTATTTTGTACTAGTGTATTAAATTTATCCTTCCAAAATAATGTAACTAACAGAAACATTGAACAATACTGACCGTGAATAGATCAAATAATTTTTTTTTTCTAAGTGAGAACATTTTATTTATTTCGAGGGTGATTATCATTAATAACGGAGGTCAGTTTGGTAGAGAGGGAAGTAATGAACTCAAAAATAATTGCGTTTACATTGGCATCCAAATTCATTTTCGAATGATCAAGTAGAAGATCACAATCTTTGTAGTCAACTAATTGTCGAATAAAACAGTAAATCACTTAAGATATTCGATAAGAATTTCGACACCTTAGTATTGAAGGCGTGAATTGTTGCTTATCGAATCACGGTCTAGGGGTATAGTGTTCACTTTAAAGGCTGTTCAGACTGATTTCACACTCATATAGCTGGGATCGAAATTCCATTTGCCTACACACGACCTTCAATACTTCAGTAACTGACGTCAGTTCATTGTGGAAAATGCTTTCAGGGTAATATCTGACATACTGCGTCCCTTTCCAGTCTAATATTAAGACGAATTTTCTTTCAAAATAAGTCTTAATATTTATATCCCCTTATTATTTAAGTTTCTGATAGAAAATTAGTCAAGTATAATTGCATGTTTACTCTTCATGTTTTAATGTACACTGGATGATAAAAAGAATGAAATTTTGCAAACATGAATGCTATTTATCTTAGAAACGAATTTGATAAGCAAAATCACATTGTTAACAAAGAATTGTATTCCAATGTAAAATTATATTTTTCGGTATGTGTTCATATGAAATCATAAATAATAAGATTGTTAAGAGGGACTGTTAGCAAATGTAATCAATATAATGTTTTCGTTTCTTTTTTTATCTAAGTGGTCAAACTGGTGATCGCTTCTTAAATATAGGGTTGACATGACTTTGTTAAATCGATCTTCATTTGTGCTAGCTGTACATTTCTCTTCACATGCGAGATATCGGTTTTAACTTTTTTTCTGAATTAAAAAACACTTCCATATTTTTATAAATTATGACATTTTGGCAGTGTACACTATCGTCAACTTATTCAAAGTTCACATTAAGTATGTCCAGATTCAACGGTCAATAAGTTACATGGGAGTACGAGATTTCCTTGCTTGTGTTTTTTTATATTAGCCACGATATGAATTCTATTAGTTAGTCATAAGCAATGTAGAACCTGGCATATATATGCATCAATTCAGGTTGCCATAACACGTTAGCACACAAAGATGAAGTCATTAACAGAAATCTCAAATCAGTAACATGATCAGTGGTTGCAGAAAAGATTAGTCATACACAAAATCATTCGAAAATGGAGAGTAGATTCGAGGAATAAAAGTATACGATAATTATAAAAGTCAAGGAGAAAACAAATAGTGGATGGAACTACTCTGTCGTGACTGATTTTTAGCATTTCAGTTACCAACCTTCAACTATTATTGAAAAAGCGCCGAACCCAACTATATTGTCCGTAACCCCCAACAATCAATAACTTCATGGACTGATTCCGAGTCTTAGTTTACTGACCCCTAAAGTTCTTCCAACCTACTCTTGTACTGTCAAGCATCAGGGGTCGAGATCGGTGGTGGTTGAGATTACACAATCTATTCTCCAACCACTTTAATCTATGAAGTTTCATTACCTTGTCAGTTGACTCTCCATTTTTTACCTAATACCCCGTGTCTAACCTCAGAACTGCCAATTCAGTTGTTCTGGCATACTTGAGGAATGCTTTAAAGGTATCTTTGATCAAATGATAGTAACGTACGGATATCGTCTTTTTACAAATCCCATGTCTCACAGGCATAAAGTAGTTCAAAGTAGTTGTTACTCAGTATACTTTTCATTTTGTTAGGAGATGGACATCTCTCCAACTTCAAAGATGACACTAGCTGGCAAAACCAACTGAGCTTCCTGAATTTGTGCTGAAATTTCTTCAGGTACTAGTTCAACAGTGCTGAAATTATATGAATCACTCTTAGGTTATTTATTTTATTCTTTTATTAATCCCTATAAATATTGAATTAATGATGTTACAAATGAAAGTTTTTCTTTTTTTTCTTGATTGGGATCATGAACCGATTGATGTTAGACCACCTTTGGAAACCCGGAAGCACTGGACGGCCGTTTCGTCCTATTGTGGGACTCCTCAGCAGTGCGCATCCACGATCCTGCTCGCGGGATTCGAACCCAGGGCCTTCGGGCTCGCGCGCGAACGCTTAATCTACTGAACCACTGAGCCGGCATCGAGTGGTGATAGTGTCGTAAAATAGTCTAACACTAATAATCAACTTTTCGTTCAAAAATGGTACACAATTATTCATGATCAGTTTAAAATTTTACTGTAATCATATCTAACAATTGTAATATTATTATTATTATTATTATTATTATTATTATTATTATTAGTAGTAGTAGTAGTAGTAGTAGTAGTAGTAGTAGTAGTAGTAGGAGTAGTAGTAGTAGTAGCAGTAGTAGTAGTGATGGTATTAGTATTAGTAGTATTAGTATTAGTAGTAGTAGTGTGGTGTGAGCTACTTATATAAGTAGTATATAACGTGCGTTAAAAGAACGTAATGTCCGGCAGCAGAAGATGGCGAAGATCAAGAAAAGAAGAGCAGGAGCGCAATGGAATTGTAAGAAAACGCATGTACAATGGAATGGGAGACAGTGGATTAGTGTTTGCAACGGGAACAGTACAGTTTGATATGATGGAATGATATTTTGCAAATCGACGATTGACTTTATGGTATTTACATTTTATTGAGATAGTCTGTAATTTTTGTTCTAAATACAATCGATTGTCCCCACCCGTGTTCTTGTTCACTACAGTAGTAGTAGTAGTAGTAGTAGTAAACAAATAATCAGCTGTTGTTATTCTCATCAAGAATAATACATATTCAGAGAATCAAAACAAAATAACCGATAAACAATCATCTAAAAATCTACGTGTTTTCAGCATTTTACTGTAATAATTATGATCATTGGCGATTTTCGTGTACGATACATATAAAATTTAGATAATGTAATTTAGCTATCAAACACACAATTTAAACCTTCAACATTTAAGCTTTGTATGACAAGTAAGTAGAAAGAACTAGAAGTGAAATATAAAAATAGGCATAGTTTTTAACAGTTTTATACTTTAAAATTAGAGTTATTTTTACTTAATATCTGTCAAGTTAAATACAGAAAGTATATTAGTAGATGAATCAATTACGTAATCGTCTGTATGAACTAGAACTAATCAAAACCTATCTAACCCAACAATAATTTCATGCAGCTTTAATAATTTTTGATGTGGCAAGTAGCCATCATTTAAACCCTGTTTTAAAAAACCTTAATCTTGTTGTCAGTAATTATGTACTCATTGATGTGAAGCAATAACTCAAACAGTTAATTATATTACTGACATTATTACCCATAGATTATGTTGAATAAAGATTATTTTATATGACAAATTGACTGAAGTTAAGATTAGTTATCGGTAAGCATAAGTTCTATGGTTTAGGGGTATCGTTCTCACTAAAACACTTTGAGAACTCAATGTTGATTCAGTGTGAAGTTATATTGAAGAACTGTTGAAAGGTTATACAATTGTATGAAATTGTTTTACAGTAACCTTAGGTTATTAATAATTTAATTATTGACTAAAATTTGCTTAAGTAACTTATGTAAATATCACTCTCCATACATATATAATCAGTAACAAGTATAATCTTCATAATAAAATTGTATAAAACCATGTTTCACCTTGTGTTCTTCGAGTTCCTAGGCTCACATATAAATAATGCAAACGTTTAACCAATTCTATTCTTCGTTTTTCTGCAGCCATTCGGAGACGTCTTAAACGCTGTAGATGTTCTACATCATCATCTGTATTTTAAAGTTAAAAAAAAGTGTTTTTATCAATTTTAAGTTAGATGTAAAATATGAACATGAATTTTATAGTCACCAGTATTTAGATAATAAACAAATGAAAGGAATAATAAAAACTCTTCCAGATACCGGACGACAAAAACCAAATATACCAACAACAACAAAAATATCCAATTTGAAAGTATTAAAAATAAATTCTCTGTATACATCTTTTTACCTTTTTATTCCATTAAAATGCCATTCAATTCAAATGTTAAATAGTTATTCCTTTCAGTGTTGAGATGTATATAGAATATTCTTTGTCAAATTCTTTGTAGAATTAATTTGTCTGTTTGTACCTTTCATTTAGTATCAAGTAATTTAATAAACTAGTCTTTAAAAAACAAACTAAATGATCTGATTTAATTGTTTAGCCTAAATTCGTATATGAATTTACAAGAAGAAGAAGAAGAAGAAGAAGAATATTGATTTTCTTTTCTATGAATGGTTACCAAACATTTTTTGATATAATTAACTTATTTTTCTGATGGAGTTGATGAAGAATAGCAGCATGATTTAGTTGATTTGTAATATTTCAGTGGTAGTCTATTTATTGAACGTGATATTTGACATTTGAATGGTCACTGTAAATATTTTTAATTGTTCTCATAAATAAAATATATTTATTATATCATTTAGATGATAAAGTCGTAACAAACTAAGGAATCTGTTCACATAAACTTTATCGTTAAAAATCATAGTACTTCTCAGCAGTGCCTACCTGCTGCCTCAATAAAGATTGAAACTAGAACCTTCAGGTCTTACATTGATTTCTTAAACTTCAGACTATTGAGTTGGAATCCAGTGGTTTACATGTCTTAGTTTAATAGGTTTATGGTATTTTGCGACTAATATTCATCGCCGTTGGTAATAGTTATCTAGACCAGTTCCATTATCGAACTTTGTCAGTTTTCACTGGTATCAATCCATGGAGATTTTCTCCATGATATTTTCTTATTCTATCATGAATATTTGAATAGCGGATATTCATTAGTAATCTATTGGTTTTCAGTATTCTTAGTTATTAACTCTTTAAATAAATTTGACAGGATCTAGAAAAATATCAAGTAATATTTAGCTATCATTTTATATTAGTGATAATTAACCAATTTCACACTGATTTATAAATATATGAATCTATGATAAAGTGATAAGTTATGAATACTTTTGAAAAATGTATTAAAATGAGAACAATGTTATTTCCCAATCTATGACTTTATTAATAAAACATTTTAGTTGAAACAGTAATTGAGTTTAGATAATTTGAAACATTAAAATAACTATACATAAAGTAATTTAAACAAAAGTTATATTTTGAATAATGTTGCGATGTAGTGAAGCTAATTCATATTCACTAAAACCTGTAAAGTGTTATGTTTAAATTCATTTTGGATTGCAGAAGTTTAACTTCATGTATGGAATATTTCAGTTTAGTTATATTTTACATGCTATTTACTAAAGTACTATATATATTTTAGAATAAAATCAATATGTAACCACATAAACTTCCTTGTTACATACTAAATGTGTTTTATTATGTTCCTTGTGTATATGTTTTAAACTAAGTATACATATGCTGAATTCAACTTTTAATTATATCGTTTATAGTACATCATATTTCAAAGTATGTTTTTTTAAAAAGATATTTAACTTTCACTGTTGAAATCATGAACTGATTCGAAATAGACCATCGTTGAGAACCTGGCAGCACTGGAAGGTCTTTTTTTCTAGTGTGCGAATCCTCAACAGTGTACATCCATAGTTCCACACGCAGGGATCGAACCCAGAACCTTCGATTTTGTGCGCGAACACTTAACCTTTTTTTATTGTAGTCTAGCTCAGTTTACATAGTGATTTCAGCGGTGAAAACACTGCAGTCTCTATAAGTCCTCTATACTAAGACAATCCATAAATGATCTTTCCTATAATATTATTTGATTCGTTTAGTACAACTGCTCAAAAAATTCACATTTTGTTTCACCTGAATATTCAAGTCGAAATTAATCCCTAGATCGATTTTGAGAATAGAACCATTAGGTTTTACATAGTGTCTAGGAGTGCAATACGAGAAACACAATCCATCCTATTTTCAATGTCCTTAAAAGGGCCAAACACGCATTCTATATTCTACTGGTAGCCACGAACCAAAATATAACAAACCTAGGGATTTTCTCAATTAGCTAACAAACAGTTGAAAATCAGTAAATTTATCATATTTATTCTATACTCAACACTTCAGTTATTTGTCATAAAATGTTTGCCTTATATTAAGGCAATATTAATAATGGCGTATGGGTGACTGAGATACTCAAATACACTTCACTTTGATTCAGAATATTTGTACGAAAAGTAGTCATACTGCTCAGTAGTTCTAATTAACATAACTGAAAAAGGTTTAGACTTGCGATCAAGTAGTTTAGATTTGAATCTTAAACAAGAAAATATCGGCTCCTCGATTTTCCCCGGCTTCTAATGATTTTCTAGATGATTTCAGTGATAATTACTATCCAAAATTCAAAACAAGCCTTTATAAATCATTTTTAAACTTTATCACTAATTTTTATTCCAGTTTTAAAGTGTTATTCATCACAACTGATTTTACAATTTCCAGATGATTAAATGTTTTGATGTCAGTCTTAAGAATTATGTTGTTTTCGATTTTTGAATACACTTCATCAAGTAGTACTTACCTTAGTAGCGTATCAAAAGAAACATACGTCAAACGTAAGACCAAAACTTATCTCTTTCACTACCTCAGTCAACAAAAGTGGTACATTGGAGCCTTCGATCTTATAGTGATTATTACATCCTAATACCGTTTAAATAAAACAGAATGTCCCACATTTTTAAATTCACTTCCTTCATAAAATACAATGGTCCTCATTGTTCACTACTTGTATAAGGTCATAATTTCAACCCTAAAGAGACATTCTTAGTTTCTTAATGTTCAGAAGTCTCAAATTAGTACAAAATAACTTTTTAGTATTTATTGCTTTCTTATGGCTCTCAAGGTCTTGTAAGTTTATGATGAAACTTTACTTCAATAAACCATTATCACAGCAGTGACCAGCTATTAATATTCCACTGTGTCGATATAATATGAACGGATGTACATGAACAATATAGAATCATGCATGTTAGTTGACTAGGTAAAATTATCAAGAAACTAGGACAGTTAACAACTTTATTATGCATACACTTATGTATTTCAATAAATCCTCTTCAAACATTTATGCTCGAATATATCTTTACATTTATTACATCTGTATTTCTGTATGATAAATTATTAAGATAATGACTAGAAATGAATATTGTACATAACAAACTTGATCAGAAGAATTAAACCAATATCAAGGTTCAAGGATATGACAGCGATTACTAGCTAGATGCTTAATAGTGTTCGAATAAAGTATCCCATCTCGACATACAAAACAGCCATTAATATGATTGATTTGTTTTTTTCATACATGTTCAAGAAAGTGGTAATAAGATACCGTATTGTTTGTATCTCTAACTAATGAATATAGCATAGCCTTTTCTATTTTTACTCTGTACGTGTATAGAAAAATAGGTGGATAAACAAACAACACTATATTCTGTTGTTTATGTTTCATCATAGCTAATCTATCTGTCAGAAGGTCTTGCTATTAACAATATTGGTTATTTCATAATAATGCTGGTTAGTTTCTTCTAATTAGGTTGTTGTTTTAATGTGCTTGTTCTCTTGTCAGCTTCATACAACAAACCCTTATATATATACAGAGAGAGAAATACACTACAATCAATTCTTCAAATCATCACAAACAATTACTGAGAAGTTAAATCAATAAAAGTGATCTTGAAAACAAACTGTTTTGTTCTCAGTAGTATGATAAAAAATCGATTGCCATATACATTGTAAATATAGTAAGGTTTATCTTATGTCATCTCTTTCTCTCTCAGCATAATAATTTAGCGATTTGTATGTATTGATGTATGCAACTTGTATTAATCAAGCTTCTTTCAGTATTATTCGTAATATATTTAGTTGTACTAATTATCTATATTTTTAATAATCGAATTTCGACTTAACTCGTAAAGTATATCAAATAATAATAATCGTAAAATAATGATAGTGTCAAGCGCCATGACATTTCCTCACTTATATCAATACACGTGGACAACTGCGGACACTCATTCGATTGAAAAAATGTGAAAATCTTGGACAGAGGAAATTTCAAAAACACCAGAGAATTTTTAGAAGCCTGGCAATCAACAAGCATATTGAAATCAACCCAATTTATCAACCAATCAGGAAAATCATACACAAATATAGGAACAAAAATCAAACCAATGTGAGTCAACCAAAACAAAGAAGTAAACAGTGACAAATTTAAGGTCAATAGGAATCAGTGAAACTCCGCCTGTAGCTCTTCTAGACTTACTGCCAGTCCCAAGCCCGGGTAAAGGAGGAGGGTTGGGCATGGGGTTAGCGAACCCATCCCGTAGAAAACTAACTCACGAAAAAGTAATTCAAACCATTTAAACTCTGCTCTAAGAATTAGAAGGTCTTCATTTAGAAGAACTATGACGCCTCATGGTGAAAGCCGAGTTCCTTCGTAAGTCACGAGGCCGATACCCCTTCTAAAAACCGGAGCAACAATATTTATAGGTACATGGAACGTCCGAACAATGTGGGAGACTGGGAAGATCAGTCAGATCGCAACGGAAATGAGGAGATACAACTTGGCAGTACTGAGAATTAGCGAAACCCATTGGATCCAAGCTGGACAACTAAGGCTTAATACGGGAGAGATGCTACTATACTCCGGTCACGAAGAGGAAAATGCTCCACACACTCAGGGAGTCGCTCTAATGCTGTCCAAAGTAGCACGAAATGCATTTGTAGGATGGGAATCTCACGGATCCAGAATCATCAAAGCATCATTCAAAGCAAAGAAGAAGGGAATTACAATCAA